TTCCCCCCCGGCACCCCCCCCACACACACTTCCCCCTCTCCACATGCCCGCATGTGTCAACTGAAACCCCGGGTCCCCCCACCCCACCAAATTACACCAGAACCAACCAGGCAAACCCTTTTGCCTTTTCAGGTAAGGTAAAACATCCCTACACCATACCCCAACCACTCCGTATCCCCCCTCTCACCCACACCTGCATAGAAAACTTGAGGAGGTTGTTAATGGCGTACAGCACGGCAGGTACGGCAAGAAGTCGATTGTGGTGGGCATCCACAAGGAAGCCCCTCAGCGAGCGGTACATGGGAGCTCCCGGGCGCCCCGTGCCCTACACAAACAGGGGGGAAGGGGGGGAGAGGAATGGGGGAAGGGGGGAAGGGGGGGGAAAGACGAACCACGAACGAGTGAAGCTGATGCCAAGGAAAGACTGATGCGGGGAGTTGGGCCCCCGGCAATCATATGCAAGAGGAAACAAAGAACGAACTGCCGGAAGGCATCTAAAGCTCGAAACTGCCCCTAGTGAGACCTAAGGGCTAAAGTCACCGACCCATGGTTCCAAACTGTGTGTGGAGGGGAAGAAAAAGCCCTTGTCCCCCAGCTCGTTCCAGTTCCCTATCCAGTTCCCCCCAGCTCGTCCCAGTTCCCCCCAGCTCGTCCCAGTTCCCCCCAGCTCGTCCCAGCTCCCCCCAGCTCGTCCCAGTTCCCCCCAGCTCGTCCCAGTTCCCCCCAGCTCGTCCCAGTTCCCCCCAGCTCGTCCCAGTCCCCCCCAGCTCGTCCCAGTCCCCCCCAGCTCGTCCCAGTTCCCCCCAGCTCGTCCCAGTTTCCTCCAGCTCGTCCCAGTTCCCCCCAGCTCGTCCCAGTTTCCCCCAGCTCGTCCCAGTTCCCCAAGCCGGCTCCCCTCCGCGCACCGTGAACATGAGCACCACCAGGGCAAACAAAGTCTTGGCCAGCTCCACCATGAAGTTTACCTGACAGGTCAAAGAAATGAGCCGACAGTTACGGTTTTCGGGTTTTGTCAGTTTTTTTCGAGTTTGACAGATTTTCGGGTTTAGGTTTTCGGGTTTCGGAACGCGAAAATGGAGCAGAAAAACTAACAAGCAAATGAGCAGGGAGGAAAAGAGACAGTACGGCACAGCAGAACCGCTGGTCGGCAGGGAGGAGACATAGGGACAGGGCACTTGGGGGATCGACAGACAAACAGGCAGACAGGCAGGAAAAAAAATGGACAGACAGACAGACGGATCACGATAAAAACAGACAGCAGCGGCGACACCGCAGGGGCGGCTGCGGCAAGCGGGCCGGCGTGTTGTATGAGATGGCTTTGGGGCAAGTTAGGGCTCGGAGGTTGCCAACAAGGACCAGCAAGTAAGCAATGGCAATTCATGTGGCTGTGGTCCGCCACCCGTCCGGCTCACAGCCAAGATACCCCCCACCCACCCACCCACATATATATAGGTGCTCGCTTCCTTACACTCCTTCCCCTCCCCTTTCCCGCGCGCTTTGCCGCACTGTGCAGTATCCTGTACGGCGTGTATCATCATCACGGCATCTGCATCCCCCGATCGGTGCTTTTCTGAAAAAGTCGTAATATTGTTGTCTAATGACCGACACTACTCATACAATACACACCAGAGAATGGTAACAGCAGTAACAGGACCCAACGGGGGTCCGTGTGGAGCTTTGCTGGTCTGAACAGATGTAACACGCGCTCCCGTAACCCCTGCTGCTCACCCCCACCACCACCACCCCGACATGGCGCCCGCTCACCCGTCCCCCCACCACTCACCGCCACTGGGTGGAAGGAGTAGGTGCCCTTGCTGTTCTTGGACAAGTGGACCAAGACGGGCTGAAGACCTGCATGCACATACACACATACATACACACATACATACACACATACATACACACACTCATTTTGAAGATCACCGAGAGGAGGAAAAGGCGATCTGGGTCACCCGGGGGGGTTGTCACTGCCGCTGTCCTGACCTTGAAACCATCTGGGTCACCGACCTGGGCTACTGGTGACGCGACCAAGAGATCAAAATGGTACGGTGCGATGTGAAAGACGGGGAATAAGATGAAATAGAGGATAAAAATAATAAAATCAAAACATCAAAACATCCCCAAATCGTAAAATTCGGTACATTTGCGCAAATGGTTGGGTCATATGGTATGCGTTACGTTGGGTTATCTATCCAGGGCTTCACCCCGTACGGCATTGTCAAAATGATGACAATCTGGAAAATGGCCTGACGGCCTTCTTCGTGCTCATCGTCCACGGTAGGCTCCTCCGACATCCCCCGAAACACAACTCCCCTCCTCCTTTTGTGAGTGATGACCTCATCGGCTTCATTGGTTCCGGAGCTCAGTTAACTCAGCCGCCAGTCTCATATGACGTCAAGCCGAAAGCTCGTGCATGTGCGTGTGTCTAGTATGTGCGTTTTCGCGTGTACAGGTTACAAGGTTACAAGTGCCGCACGAGCGCGGGGGGGTCCGTCAAAGCCGGGAGGCCATGGACTATGTGCGTTTTCGCGTGTAAGTAGGACGTGTGTAGACGTGTGTCTGTGTGTGTCCCCAAGCTCGGATCACGCCCCAATGGAACCTGGTTTTTTCTACAGACGCAGGGGCACAAAGCTAACTTGCCATCCAACGCTTCACAACATATTCACATACAAAGCCCAGACAACGGTAATTTCAACGATGTTAGTCCCGGCCGTCCCTGGAGCACATATCTCCGTCCTTCGCCCACAGAATACGGTGGTGGTAATGGGTGATGATAACAATGATAGTGGTGGTGTGGTGGTGTGGAGGGATGACAGAAAGCTGTTTCCCGTTCTTAGAAAGGGATGGCTGCGGCTTTGGTTGTGGTTGGTGTGGTGATGTGGTTGTGTGTCGTACAACTCACCGAGGAAGAGGCAGTCGAGGGCCACCAGCGCTACCTTAAAGCCATACGACACCTGCACCTGTACCTTGCCCTTGAGCTTTGGGTCGCTGTATGCTTCAAAGGAAAGCCGCGCAGAGTCGCTCATCCTTTCGTGCATCGCGCTGTGCGAGCCGTGGGCTTGCTAGGCCTGCAGCCAGACCCATGACTTCGGGTGTCATGCAAAGGTGCCCGTGCGAAACTTCCCGTATTCGCCAGGTATGCGAGCGAGTCTCACCCAGGAAACACGAAGAAGCTGCGGACCTCACTTGCAAATTAGAGTTTGAGGAGCAATGCTATTATACCTATTGGGACTGATCACAACAGTCGGTGCTGGGCTGGACAGTTACTGCATGTATCTTGCACTCTGTCTGAATGATTAAATAGTAGACCATGAAAGCTGCCAATTGGGTTCCATCCTCGACGCTCAGGATGTCTGCACACGACTCGGACAGCTGTGGGCTGAAGTCAACGACACGCTGTATCAGGGTTATATAATTCTGCGATGAAAGCACCTAAATACTTTCCATTACAAATGTTACGAATAAAACCGAACGGGCGATGGCATGTTGGAAAAGGGCCAGAGAGGTGTCACAGCTGTAATTGATTAAGTGTTGCAGCCAAATCCCTTGATCACTTCCGCCCTGATGAAGATGCCTGAGAATTGCTACCTTTCGTCAGACCGGCGGGAGGTTGTTTCCCGACCTGCCTTGTCGTATTCTGTGTACATTTGTCCGGCATATGCATGTCGCTATGCTCGGAAACTTTCTGGTACCCGAGAGAGTTATGCATCCTCTTTATATTTTTAAAGGAACACTACAGAATTGCTTCACCTGGGCTTAATTATTGGCATTGGTTGCTACAGAGACCCACTTTACTTCTTCCGGGGCATGGCGTGACAAGGACGCCATGTCTGCGGCTCAGACCTCGACAGTTTTGAAGGCGGCGGTAGGCGGGCAGCAGGATTGTGAGCAAAAGGCAACAGTAGCAGAGTCCATTACATTGCGGCTAGTGCCCCGGAGAAAGAAGAAGGATGAGCGCGTCCATTGGTCCAAGGATGTCCAAGAGATCAACGAGTTTTCGGGCAAATTCAAGTCGAAGAGTTAGGTGCTGAGGCTTTCAGGTGTGAGCGCAGTTTCAGCAGGGGGCGGACCCCACCCAACTCTGGTCGTGACTTGACGTCCCTGGCCCGACGCCCGCAGAGTGCTGTCAGTTTCATAAGCGGCGAGTTTTTGGAGAGTGGAGTGACGAGGATGATAGCGACGCGGAATGCCAGTGCAAACCGGAGGGAGAGCAACCTAAGGAGCCATGAAACGGCTGCGCGCGCAGTTTCTGCGGCCTCTTCTATCGATAGCAGGAAGCTATTAAGCGGACTCTGTATGTGACGTTTTAGACTGGACATTTACAGACGCTTTGCACATACAGGTGGCACATGGGGTGGTGGAGCCCTTCCATGGGGCAATTTACGGCCCAACGCTTTCTTGATTTGCTGCAGCTTTGCAGTATCTGCAGGACTAAATAATTGATGCCTCTTATGATGGCATGGGCCGTTAGGGGTTCAGCAGCGTAGGTGCCGCTTGGTCTGGGAATCTTAACGCGGGCAAGTGCACGTCCATGCAATAGCAGCCCAAGGACCTAGCCCTGTACTCTCGCACGTCCGATAAGGCTGTGAAGCCTCTTGTTGTCAGGGTGGCTGCGACGTTTGTGAACGCAGTTTCAGACATAACCGGTCTTTGGTGATGAGTGGGACCTCTTCGACTTTAGGTGTCTCGCTTTTGGATTTTGTTTATAGATATAGATGTGGTTTTCACTTGCTGCATTCAACGTGCTGGGCGTGGGAAAGGAACTGGGCTGACGGCGACCAAGTGCGATTTCCTTTGCAAATTTGAACACAGTGTAAGCCTGCGTCTCATGGGTTTTCTCATTTAGCAGGATGGCTGGTGTTGCATAGGGGGTAGGTGGCACCTGCGCGCAACTGCGCGGCTTTAAGAGAACTTCATACTCCACTGATGGACACACTGATAAGATGATCCGTTCTGGCAACTAAACTGCCTTGGTCACAGGCTTCGTGCTCCAGCAATAAGGTTGCGCTTACAATCACTTTTTGCATCCGGTGACCCTCACAACCAGAATATGCCGTCCGATACCTTTCCTTGTGAACCACTTAAGAAGCATTCAGCGCAGACTAAGGTGAAAGTCGGACGAACACAAAGGTTGGTGCAGCCTCTGAACAGTTCATCAAATCCCGTACCATGCTTCGAATCCCATCGAAAGCTCTTAGATAACGAGACCAGGAAATCAGTTAACCATTGGGAGCGACCGCCTAGGGTTGCGCACACGTGCTCTGCATGGTGCGCTATGCGGCGACCCCAAAACCCCGTATCGTTACCAAATTTCACCTCCCCTCGGACCAACCCTTGGCGGCAAAAGTCGACACTCCACCGTCACCGAGTGAAACAACCTCCCACCTCCACCCACGTCCACCCCACGCACGATACACCAGAGGTATACAAGGAAGGATGCAGAGTTTGCAGATCGCACTTTTAAAAGCTTTCCAAGGGTCACGCCGACGCCATATTGGTACGGCGAACATAACATTCACCATGGCTGTGTTCCATGAGCCTGCTGCCTCGCTTGACTGGGCCTTACGAACTCATGCGAGCTTGTAGCATAACATAACATCTAGGATTTGGTCTGGTGGGTCCTGGGTTTTCTTTTGCTTCCTTCAGAATCGCTGGCTGCGCACCTAGGGTAAATTCCTGGCTCGGTCGGTACGGCAAAAATTCAAGCAGTTTCCGTAGGGCCGAGGTTACTGTAGGCAGGCAAGTGGATCCAACTTTTGTTTTCTTTTTCCTTTGGAATGCCGAACAGAACGCCAAAACGGAACCGGACAGCTCAATAAAAAAAACAGAACATAACTGCATGTCACGAAGCGCGAAAGTGATCAGAGATCAACGTCAGTTCAATCTCCTTGAATTTTGTTAATTTTTTTGAGCGCAGGGTTGCGCGACAAATAAGACAGTTCAGTTTCAGATTTACATGGGTCGTGAGGAACTGAAACGCGCACCGAGGGACAACCGCCAGCCCAACGGACACAGCTTTTGGCAATAATATGATAGGGGGGTGCCCTACATCTCCCCCTCCCCACCTCCCCCTCCTCACTCCCACCTCCAACCCTCACCAAAACCACCCTGGCAGAAACCCCTGCTGCGACATACTCGACATAAATCTAAGCGGCACAGCTGAACCCAATTCCGACACCGACATCATCATGCCTTGTGAAAGCAAACACACACGTACACACACGTACACACACATGCACACGCACACATGCACACGCACGCACACACGCACACACACACACACACACACACACACACACACGCGCGCACACACACACGCGCGCACACACGCACTCAAGCAAGGGCAAGTAAATTTACTGGCGTGTCATCCCCCTAATCGATTAGCCAAAAGACGTCTCCTGCCCGCGAAACAAAATGTTAATGAATACACAAGCCGAATCCCCGGATAGCCCGCCACCGGATCATATCACCAAACCACACAATACTTCCACTCCATTTCCCTCTCGTATATGACCAGTACAGTACATCACAGCACAGGCCACATGGCCTAAATAAGCTACTACAGGCTTACCGGCGGAGAAGCCAGCGAACCTCGGATTTGAATCCCCTTCCTCACCTCCTAAAGGACGCAAAATGCGTTTTGAAGGAAAGCACATTTTGCAGCGATAGAACTCCCATCCGAGGCTCGCACAAGCGAACGTACGGTGTACGGCGTACAGCAACACTACTGTACATGGCAGCGCAATATCGATCAACAATACTTTTCTCCACGGATGCCCACATCACCGTTCAGCCCCCTTCATCCGCCTTTTCCCCCCCACCCCAAGGAATGGAATGTGTACATGTACAGCACACAGTCTAAAATGTCAAAAAGTACATACAAATGTCAAAAATTCGACGTCGCTGCATCCAATCCCATCTGGCTCACACAAAACCATTCTTTTTGTTCCCGACACCGTCTTCAGGTGGTGCTGCAATTTCACCATTTCGACTTCGAGACTTCGCCTCCGAAAATCTGTCGCCCGCCTCCCGACGGCGGAGGATTTACATCGGGAGCCGGCTGCCGAAGATGTAAATCCTCCGCCGTCGACGATAAAGTAGCCCGCCCAAGCCTCCCCGAGTCCACTTCCACAACCCCTATGTAGAATCGCACGCCATAACCCCCCCGGTCAGCACACAGCGCGTATGTATGTACGTACGTGCCGCCGCCACAGGGGGGGATCGCACACATCCGGGGGTAATCAAGGAGTAGGTCACATACACACACACACTCTCTCTCTCTTGGGTGACCTACTTCTCGGCTTTACAGGAAGGGATTCTCCGTGCTTCCACCACCACCACCAGCCGCATCACCGGCGCGGTGGCCGGTGCTGGTACTACTGCCGCTCAGTTGACGCCCCAGCAAAGGATCAGCATCGCCCGCCAGTGGCGCCGCAGGTGCCGCCACCGCCGCGGTGCCGCCGCCGCCGCCGCCGCCGCTGCCCCGGCTGCCAAACACATCCACCGTGGGCTTGAGCGGCACGTCGGCAGCTGCTGGTTTCGGAGCCGAGGAAGGGCTCAGCGTGCCAGAGGCAGGAGGCCGCGAGGCGGCCGCCCCCGCCGCCGCCGGTGGCGGCGGACCCCACACCGCCCGCTGGCTTGCGCCGAGGAGCGTTGGAGCGGCGGCGGCGGCGGCTGAGCTGCCGCTGGCGGCGGCCGCCGGTCGGCCGGTGGACCAGCCGTACGGTCCCACGTGTCCTTCCTCATCCGAGTCCTCGTCCGGCCGAATGATGCGCTCCTGGTAGCCGCCTCCTCCGCGAGCTCC